TCAGTCAAAGTGTACATGTCCAAGTATTCTTGGTCGGGGTTCCTTTTGCATGAATTGCTGCATCAGTAAAGCGCGGCATGGAAGCAATCAGCATTTGACTCTGCTTAGGTGTTAAGCAAGGCTAAGTTGTTTTATCAGTGGCCTTCTGCTCTTCTGTATTTCATGGATCTGTTATCTCCCACCTGCCTCCTCACAATAAGCTGTTGATTCTCTATAAGTTATTGTCAGACAAGTTTGTTGGCCAATGAGGTATGGAGGATCAATCCTGCCTTAATTAAGAATACAGACAGATACAAATAAACTACTCAATAAAATAATTACTGTACCAAAAAGTAGCTAAATAAATTAGAGTGCCATCAAATGCACCTTAAACATAAAAAGAAGAGATTTATTCAATAATTGATCGTTTAATAGCTATATCAGATATAGATATATTTCTGTTTTAATCCACTTATTTTCAAAAAAAATTTTTCTTGAATTCTACAATTTTCTTTTGTTTATTTAAAACAAATGAATGTCATGCTGTTTTATTTTTTCCTAACCCCTTTACTTCTTTAATATTTATTACCACCCAAATATATTTAAAACATGTTGTTTCCCTCAAAAATAAATATTTTCCAAATTATTTTACTGTCCTTTAATTGTTAAACACTAATATATTTTCCCTTCTCATATATCACTGATGTATTTTCTAACCCAACGAATTTCCCTGTGCCCATTTATTTCCGTCTTCCTTTTTTACATTTCTTGGTGGCTGTATTGTCTTTTCCTCCTCAACATGGAGCTGGAATTGTAAAAACAAAGGGGGTGGGGCGGAGACAGAGGGCGTGGTCTTTTGGATCAACATCACCACCTCAGCTTTTCTTCTATTGGCTGAGGTCAAGCCTTTAGGAAGTTGGTGCTGAGTCTCAATATGGCTGCCTGGTCCTGGAAAGAGCCTAGCAGAAATGGCTAACTACTGTCATGTTGTTGCTAAGTTATGCTTGTTGTGGATTTGGTGGTAGATAGCGCTGTTAGTCAGGATAGTTTACTCTGTCCTGTTGACTCTAACTGAGAGAATACTTCAGTTTGCCGAGTACTAAGAGGCATCCACGTTTACGGACCCACTTTCAAAATAAAAGCATGACTCAATGACTGACTGTATTCCCAATTCAACCAGGGAAAACATGTTTCAAGAACTTCAGCTTCAACTTAGTGTCTTAAAACATGTCCAGTGATACTTCTTGAAAGTATTCAGCAATACATTTTTCAAAAATAAAACCCGGTAAATTTCCATATTTATAATCTTTTTAACGTAAACCCATTCAAGGATGGCTTCTGCTCTGATTAGGGGTTCAGTTTCTATAGATGTCACTATATTTTATTAATATTTTAAGAGGGATTTCTAAATTAAAACATGGGAAAATTGCTTGTATCAGCAATTCTTTAAATAAAAAAAAATTTCTTTCATTCCAGTATAATTTTTGTCTAAATTAAGAGCAAACAATTCACACATTACTCAAAAGTATTATTCATATATGGTGCAGAATTTCATAATTAAATCGCTAGATGAGGACATTAACTATAGGACACTCTATTAACAATTGATATAAATAAATTAAGAACATTGTCCATTATCACAGGCTAATTTCTGTCCAGATAAAAAATTTAACATCCATAGATGTCACTCAATAAGTTTCATCCACATCTGATGTGGAATTTAAAAAGAAAGTCCCTTAACATGGAAAATTTATGTATACCTTGTCATATCCACAATCCTTTAAAAATAAGTATGTCTGATGCCCTGGGCTGATTCCTCTTCGTATTAACATTAAAAAGTGTTATCCACATCTAATCTGGGATTTCAGAATTAAAGCAATACTACTCTGGCAATATCTCCTAATCTTTTACTGAATTAATAACACCATTAAAAAAAATTTGTAGCTTTGTGGACTTAAGCTACATCATCTCTAGATGTCACTTAATTCATATCTAATATGGAAATTCAAAATTACGCCTCTGGAAGATTCTAATATAGATATTTATACTATAATCATCATTTAAAAAAAATGTCTGCCAGAGACCGATTCCTGTTACAGTTAGGAGCTGACCATCTATGTCACTAAGGATTTACATATCTGCCGTTATAATCTGAAGCGATTTCCTCAGCATACGTGCAATATTTTATCCAGAGGTGTAAGACCTGTAGGGTAGATTTGCAAATGTGAGTTCCAGTTGTACTTTGAAATGTAGTATATAGATTCCTTGCCTCTCCAATAACTCTCTCTACATGTAGCCCCACTCTGACTGATGCAAGCCCTAGTTTGGCCTTTAACTTCCCAGGGGAACAGGGCTGTAATCTCAGAATAAAATGTTCAATAGTAATCTTTATGAGGCTTTAATTTAGAAATCCCACATGAAAAATAAGTAAAATATAGTGACATCAATAGAAACTGAACTCCTAACCAGAACAGAGATCAACCTTACTCAAAAAATTTTATTAATATGGTGAATAATATTGGCCATTTACCAAGCTTTATTTTTGAAAAATGTATATCTGAATATTATTCAGGAAGTATCAATTTAAATGTTTAAGGAAGCTAATTTAACATTGAAGATTTTAAAATATGTTTCCCCTGGTTAGATTGGGAATACAGTCCGTCATTGAGTCATGCTTTTATTTTTAAAGCGGGTCTGTAAACGTAAATGCCTTGACACTTTATACTTAGGCAAACTGAAGTATTCTCTCAGTTAGAGTCAACAGGACACAGTAAACTATCCCAACTAACAGTGCTATCTACCAACAAATCCCCAACACCCCTGACTTCATTAGCAAAAGCATGAAAGAGGTTAGCCATTTCTGCTAGCACGTTTTCAGAACCAGGCAGCCATAGACTCAGCACCAACTTCCTAGAGGCTTGACCTCAACCAATAGGAAAGAAGCTGAGGCGGTGACGTTGTTCCAAAGACCGCCTCCCCCGTCTCAGTCCCGCCCCGTTTGTTTTTCTGTTTCCAGCTGCATATTGAGGAGGAAAAGACAATACAGCGACCAAGGAATATAAAAAAGAAGGACGGAAATAAATGGGCTCAAGGAAATTTGTTGGGTAAGAAAATACAACAGGAACATATTAGAGGAGAAAATATATCAGTGTTTAACAATTAAAAGGAGAGTAAAATTTATTTAATTTTGGGGAAAAAAACATGTTTTAAATATATTTGGGTGGTAATAAATATTAAAGAAATAACAGGGATAGGAAAAATAAATCGCAAGAAATTCACTTGTATTAAATAAATATGTAGAGTTCAAGAAAAAATACATGATTTAAAATGTGTGGTGTTAATAAAATTAGAAATATATATTTATATCTGATTAATTGATTAATTATTGAATAAATCTTTTGTTTTTTGCATTTACTGGCACACTAATATACATATTACTAGCTACTTTTTGGCCCAAATTATTTTATTGAATAATTTATTTATTTCTGTATGTATTCTTAATTTTGACAGGATTGAACCTCCACAGGAGATGCCCAGTGATACAATGGTCATCAAAGGAGGTATTGGTGCCTTCGGCAGTGTGGCCAGAAGCCAAGTCCTGCTGGAAATGAAACCACCATCTCCATAAAGCTTGTCTGCTCTAAAATCTCCAGACCTCAAACAACTTGGATTCTGCACATCACCGCTCTTCTTCTAGACCCTGGGACCTTGATTTCTAAATGAAAGACAAAATTTACGTTCATGTGAATAGAGGACTTTGGACCTTGATTTTAAAAAAATACCCTAGTTTTCTGGTGTCACACAAAATTGTATAAGATGATCTAGACCATGACAGTCCATGTTGTTTGTGACCATTAAGTGTTTCCAAAAGACCTATATTGTATTTCATGTTTATAGAGGGAAAATCCTTTTTGTGGCAGCTAACTAGCAGTGTTCAGAGACATGTGGGGGAGGGCAGCCCTGTTTTGTGTTCTTACAGCCAGAGAAAAGTCAAGTCACTGCATCAGTTTCTCTGGCATATCATTAAAAGGACCTAAACCCTGGGAAAATTTTGACAGAAAATGTTAACAATTCTGAAACCTTTGTATACCTTGATACCAGTAACCAGCCCATGCCTAGTCCTGTCCTCGTTCTCTTATATCAACTAACAGACGCCTCTGACTCTGGTTTAAGACCAGTTTAAAACAAGAACATGACCAACAGTTGTAGCTTATGTCCTATAAAATAATTTGGGCCAAAAAGTAGCTAGTAATATATATATTAGTGTGCCAGTCTGTGGTGGTTCTTGAAGCACTGACTCCAGCCACAGACCATGACATGCGAAGCTTCTACAAACGTTTGAACGAGATATGCTTTACAGTCCTCGTGAAGCTGCATACCTTTTTCCTAAACTAAACTTTCCATTAATATAGTTATACACAGCACTATGAGAGAGCAACAATCCTTTGTTAGGTAATCTGTCCTCACCATGATTGTGTGGTTCATGACATTACATTTCTCTACTGAAAATAATTTTTTATTGTTCTTGTGTAGTTTTCTCGGAAATTGTATTTTGGATTTTCATAAGCTGTTAACCATAATTATCAAAATTAACAGCTTAGTGTTTGATATAGATCAGTCTGTGTGAGTTTCACTTTCTGAATTAATTACACTTTTTTGATGACTTTCTAAATTATCAAGATGCAAATGTAAACCATCTGTTTTCTTTGTTTTTGCTTTGTTTGTCACAACACACAGAAGGTAAACGCTGTGTGTATTTTTTGCTAAAAATGGCATTCGGCTTTGTTTTTATATAACTGCTACATGGAATCTTTCATTTTCTGCTTACAATGCACTCAGCTTCTATTCTTATGTATGCAGTGTTAAGAAAGCCAGTAAGACATCATTATAACAAGTGAATGTATTTGTAAAATGGGACCCGTGCAATAAAGGCTATAAACATACCTACTCATAGCTGTGTTGTACATGCTTAATAGACACATTATATAAAGGACTTCAAAAATAGTGACCCGCCTGGCGCGGTGCTGATGGTGCAGGGGCGAAAGCATATGCAGAGGCTATAGTCCTCGAAGCGGCTATCCCGGGTTCAAGTCCCGGACCTGGCGACATTTGCCAAATGTCTCCCCGTCTCTCTACCCCTCTTTCCTGTCTGTCTACTGTCAATAAAAATAAAGGCCACTAGTGCTAAAAAAATAGTAACCTGCCTTTCCCAAATAAACAACTCACACTGAGAAACTAGTGAAAAGTTAAAAATATATCACTATTTTTTCAGGAACAACAAATGAAGCATGCTGCAAATTGCCATATGTCAGGGATTGCATATTCTGTTCAAGTTTTTTTCAAGTACAAAAAAAATAGAAATTACAATAAATAATATATACCTTTAGAAAAAAATATTTCAACAATCACACTTCCTGAGGATTTGGTGGGCTTATGAAACTGCCTCTGCTGCTACGTTCTCTGCTGAGTTCATGTAGGAGAACTCGGGAAATGTCACACTGGCTGCTGCTGCCTCGACCCTCTCGTTCAGGGAGGCAGGGACAGGCTGCAGCCAGAACTCAGGAGCGATGTAGCATACATCATCAGGACCGGTCTAGAAAAGGAGAAAAGAGTAAGGACCAAACGGGTAAAAATTGAAATTGTTTTTCTGACTTTTTTCTGATTTATTCGTACCACTTTAGGGATGAACGGGGGCCTAACTTTTCTGGCTACGAGGTCATCCCAATTGATAGAAGCAAAGAAGCAATGCTCCTTCAGCTCCTCCTGGGAACACAACAGAAATTAACTCCAGTGGCCATGTGCCTTCTCACTCATTGTTGATGCTCTGTGTGTGCGCTTACAACGTCAAGTCTCTGGCCTAAGCGTCTTGAGATGTTCCTTTCTAACAACCCTTTTAACAGTGCTATAGCACCTTCAGACAGGCCGCTGGGCAGCCGCAGAGGAGAATACAGGATATTTTCTAACATCTCTAGTCTGCTGCGGCTGTAAAATGGAGGCTGGGCAGCAGAACGGAAGGCGATATAATCAGTTCAAGATGCAGAAGAAAACACAAAGAAGTAGTTTAATCCAGTGAGACTCACCAGTCCAGAGAGCATCTCAAACAGCACAGCTCCAAGTCCCCACCAGTCCACAGCTAGGCTGTATGGCTGGCCTAGAAGAACCTCCGGAGCCAGATACTCTGGGGTCCCACAGAAGGTGTGTGTAATCCCACCGACAGCCACACCTTCTTTACAAAGACCAAAGTCTGTTAGCATCACGTGACCCTGGCCGTCCAGCAGGATGTTTTCTGGTTTGAGGTCTCTGTACAGACATAAAGTCATTTTCAGTAAATCAGAATATGTGTTCCAGCGAGGACTGTTTGTGAGGTTGAGAGTATTTTTTGAAAATAACAACCTTTAAGCATTTATAAAACTATCTGTCAAAAAGCCTACATCTCTGTATTTAAAAAGTTTGTTTTATTGGTCTGATGTAACATTCTAATCTTAAATGTTGTGTTTTCATTAGCTGTCAGCAGAAAATCCTCATAATTAACAGAAATAAAGGCTGGAAAACATCAGTTTGTGTGCAGCTAATCTATATAATGTGTTTCACTTAGTGAGCCAAGTTACTTAATTAACTTTTCAACAATATTCTAATTTATTGAATGGGTCTGTACGCAGGACAGAGATGGAGTGTTTAGTCTACAACTAGAAAAAGTATTTAAAAGTCTTAAATAAACCCAGATTTCTCATACAAGACCTTCCATTACCTTTAGATAGGCCTAATTGGTTTAGTAATGTTTACTTTTGTTCACTCAATACTTTGGCATATTTTTAAAATTTTTGAGAAATACTTTGGCAACATTTATTTAGCCAATGTTCAGTAATTCTAATTGTGAAATTTAGGGAAAATTACATTACAAATCGCTTGATGTAGGGCAGTAAAAAACCTGTCTGCAGGAATTTCAACATGGACTAAACTATGTAGTTTCCAAAGGTTAGATATAAGATATAAAATCTTTTTTGGTAATCATTTTTGTCCAGCTTCTTTGATGTGAAAAAACCCCCTGTAAAATTAACAATGTTTAACAATGTTTCACAACACTACTACTGAAATCATAGATTTCAGTAGTAGTGTTGTGAAACATGTAACGCATACTATTTGAAGGTAACCAGTAGGTGTAAGAGCACACGTCACATTAAAGAAGTGATAAATACCAACCTCAGAGGATATAGCTGTGTTTAACTTGGCTATTTTTTAAGCCAACAGATGTATAAGCTACTTGTTGATTGACTTATATTTCTTCCTGCAGAAACCCTGACAGAGTTATCTAAAGCCGTGTTACATATGTGTATGTGCACCTGTAAACGATGCTTAGAGAGTGAAGGTAGCCAAGTGCAGCAGCTATCTCTGCAGCGTAGAAAGCAGCTCTGGGTTCTGGAAATGAACCCTCTCTCTGCAGGTGGTAAAACAGCTGAAAGAAACAAGGTTTCACACACAGAAATGAAACATTATGGAGTGTCTCTTGCACACATTCAGACAGACAAATCTTTTGGTGTGAGTTTGCATAATGAATTTCATACCTCTCCTCCGTTTACAAAGTCCAGGACAAAGTAGAGTGTCTTTGGTGTCTGGAAGGAGAAATGAAGCCCCACCAGGAATGGATGGTTTAGTCCCTTCAGCAGTACGTTCCTTTCAACCATCACATGCCTTTGCTGCAGAGAGATAACCCACAGATGGTTAGACAGAAAAAACAGACACAGATAGAAAAACAGACGCCACAAAACACAGACAAGGACAGACCTCTTTCCTCTTGATGATCATCTGCTTGTCCAGAATTTTAACTGCATAGTAACCTCCTTGTTTTCTGTGTCTTGTCAACAACACCTGTTATATATTTCACCTTATTAGTTCACAGCATTTATAGATATAAATCAGCATGTTAATCAGGAAATACCTTTCCAAAGCTTCCTTTGCCAATAACTCTGAGGTAGTCAAAGTCTGATGGTTTCACCCTGATCATGACAATGACAGAAAACCGTGGTAAATAACAAGAAATGTATAAATGCTTGTAATACAAATAGAGCAGTAATACTAAATACTGAACGTGGCCACAAAATAACGTAATCCTGTTTTTTTCTTCAGGAAACCCTCATAATTGCTAATGCCATAACCTGTGACGTGGGCTCACAAGGTTAGGAGCCAATTAGGGGACCCTCCCATGGACCTTCACTGTGCTTCTCAATTGACTGCTATAAAAGAAAGGGTTGCTCTGTAATGTGAAGCAAAAATGTTTTCTTCAAGAGATATTACTGTAAGGGGGCGTGACTCACTGTGAGGCCTCTGAGTTCACCGGGCCCTGAAAAAGTAAGACACAGAGAGAAGGGGAGAGGGTCGGTTAGAAGGAGGGACTGGGTTTCATCCCATCAACACCATGGCAGCATCTCCTAAAATTCCTTCACCAGATCCGAACTCACAGAGGTAGCTTCCTCCTCCTTCTGTCTCCTCAGCTTGCTTTGTCTCTGCAGTAGTTTCTGGGTGCCCAGGCTTCAATCAGGAGGTCAAGCAGAGCTTGGTTTAGATTCTGATTCAAAGGGCTGGACACAAAGTAAAAAATGCCTTATTTTTTGTTAACTTACTGTTGGCAGGGTTTCTGGGTGGAAACAAGTTTGTGTAAGAAATCCATGAAGCCAACTTTTTTCTCTTTTAGCACATCTGTAAGACAGACGGACAGACAGAAAGAGAGGGAGGGGATGGGTTAGTCCATTACATAAGAGTGTACTATCTGGATTTAGTCTGCTGACATCTGGCAGCCTTTCAAACTGAGGTCACTTCCAATATAAAACTCAATTTATTAGTTTTGTGGATTTACCAAATAATAAAAAGAAACTTCTGTGCTAAATTATTTCAGTATTAATGTAACAAGTGAAATCATTTTAATTAATAAGTTTTCTAATTACGTTTCAATGTGTCATATTTAAGATAACAGCTCACTGTACTGTTCGATTAAGCCTAAAAATGGCGACCTACCTGATATAACGGTAACAAGCCCCTTCATTTTGGCATAAGTCATCGGTCGTTCTTGAGTCAGAGTCATCTGGAAGAAGTTTTATTTTAAAATAAAACTCCACAGAGATCAGGAGCTGGTTCTGGTTCTGGTTCTGGCTCTGGTTCTGGTTAGACCATCCTCAGTAAACTCCACCCTCTGGAATGAAACTTCAACCCCCTCTGCTGCTGAATTTAAGGCTGTTGACGCACAACGCGCTGCGTTCAAGCTCCCTCAGACAACTTATAAATATAGCATGCGAGGCTTACCATGAGCGCCTCTCATGACCAGTATCTAGGACAATCATTCATACAGCTGTGTTATGGTGTTGTTTAAATTACTTGTCTGACAAGATGGAATTACCAAGTATTTAGGTTTGAAAGGGAAGGCCTTTAGGGTTGT